CTATCTATGCAAATTAAAGCGCTTTTATGACTATGTGTATTGTATTTTAAAGCGTTTGCATGACTTTGTATCCGGTCAAATCATTTTGATAATTGCCGATCTTGCAGCGCGGCTGCTGCCTAATGTATCTATACGTGTATACTATACATATCTACAGGGTCGCTTTGATGTCGTGTATTCTATTAATATATTTTATTGGATTTTATCAATACATCGTTATGTACGGCGAGTGTATGGCAGTCATGAGTCAGTCGAGACTACTTCAAGCAATTACAGCACAAATCAAAGTCCAGTCCTGTTGAAATGATCAAAGAATGGACGCGCTGTTAATATAAACGGTGATAGCAGATAGCAGCGATCTGTCGTCAGACATGTTTACCAAACATAGGCAGACAGCTCGTGATCACGTGCCACATGATAGTAATGACCTAGTTAGCTGTTGTATTTTATTTTGTTTCGTAGATAGTCCTCATAGCATACTGTAAATCACTTCAATTTCGAGAGTACCTAATTTTGCGAACCTATCTGTTCAGACATATCCGCGAATACATAATTTTGCGACCTCTTCAAGACTCTCATATCGGTAACTGAGTCAAAATGGGTGCCATCCAGAATTATTTCCGTACAAATAATTACGACAGGTAGTCAAGTCTATGGAAAAGGTTTTATGGTCGTCACCAAGATCACATTTCTGTTTCCGTGTGTAATATGAATTAGTGTTGTCATCAGTTACCTGGTGGTTTCGTTGTTATTAACACTGTTCTCTTTTGAGAACGTTGCATTACTAACTTTGATTGACCAAGATTTACATGACAGATGCCGTTTATGAAGCATTTCCCCAATGTTTGCTGTTAGAACCTATCTCTTGTTTTAAGTTTAGATATTATTTCTTAAGTGTTACTATAAAGCATTTTTTCAATTGTTTTCTATTTTCACGTTTGTACCTAGCAATTAAAGGGGGTAGTTTTCACGGAATTTACAATACGCATTATGGTTTGTTTCTTTTTATTGTAAACTGTCGGTCTCTGTATTTATTATTTTCTTTATTTCACTGAAACCTTACCGTTAACAATGTACCACAAACAAACATACATGTCAGTGATTGATCATATCGTTATTTGAACATCAAATAGATTTAACGAGAGGATAAAACTATTTTTATTTACAACTGTGTACAGTAGAAGTGAGGTCGTCCTGTAGAATGTTTTCTATTGTAACGTATAATATATTGATGTGTGAGATATTGCACTCGACAACAATCTAGTATTTTTATATACTTGATTTTGCACGTGCATATTTTGTCGTAGTTTTAATATTTTTGCATGTACATGTATTATAGTAATGTATAACGCAGGACATTATGTACCAGCAAATCTTTCAATTCAAACGTACCAGTGAATCAGATCACAAAAGGCAGTCAGGCGTGTATTTATAGCAATATAAACTTTCTTCATCTCTCCTCTCTATACAATAAGATTCGACATAATGTATGTATCTAGGTTGAATGTTATCGTGTTATTTCAAACATTATCTTTTAACTCGTATTTAGAGGTTCAGATATAAGGAGATATGAATACTGCAGTCCTATGTTTAACCAACAGAGACCAGACATTTGGACTTCAGCTTTACCTATGATAGCTAAACAAATATTCATATCGTTGTTAGAGCTACTGATTTTCAGAAAATGATGTACAAGATTAAAAACGCTCGTTATTGTTAAGGCGACACAATTCCATACATTAATAGTGGTTTTAATATGGACCTCTCTTCTGTACCAGGGACTAGTCTTACCAGGGACTAGTTACCAGGGAGTAGTCTTACCAGGGACTAGTTACCAGGGAGTAGTCTTACCAGGGACTAGTTACCAGGGATTTGTCTTACCCGGGACTAGTTACCAGGGACTAGTCTTACCAGGGACTTGTCTTACCAGGGACTAGTTAACAGGGACTAGTCTTACCAGGCACTAGTTACCAGGGAGTAGTCTTACCAGGGACTAGTTACCAGGGACTTGTCTTACCTGGGACTAGTTAACAGGGACTTGTCTTACCAGGGACTAGTTACCAGGGATTTGTCTTACCCGGGACTAGTTAACATCGACTTGTCTTACCTGGGACTAGTTACCAGGGATTTGTCTTACCCGGGACTAGTTAACAGGGACTAGTCTTACCTGGGACTAGTTACCAGGGAGTAGTCTTACCAGGGACTAGTTAACAGGGACTTGTCTTACCTGGGACTAGTTACCAGGGAGTAGTCTTACCAGGGACTAGTTAACAGGGACTTGTCTTACCTGGGACTAGTTACCAGGGATTTGTCTTACCAGGGACTAGTTAACAGGGACTAGTTTTACCAGGGATTAGTTAACAGGGACTTGTCTTACCAGGGACTAGTTACCAGGGATTTGTCTTACCAGGGACTAGTTACCAGGGACTTGTCTTACCCGGTACTAGTTAACATCGACTTGTCTTACCTGGGACTAGTTACCAGGGATTTGTCTTACCAGGGACTAGTTACCAGGGAGTAGTCTTACCAGGGACTAGTTAACAGGGACTTGTCTTACCCGGTACTAGTTAACAGGGACTAGTCTTACCAGGGACTAGTTACCAGGGAGTAGTCTTACCAGGGACTAGTTAACAGAGCCTAGTCTTACCAGGGACTAGTCTTACCAGGGACTTGTCTTACCAGGGACTAGTTAACAGGGACTAGTCTTACCAGGGACTAGTTAACAGGGACTTGTCTTACCAGGGACTAGTTAACAGGGACTAGTCTTACCAGGGACTAGTTAACAGGGACTAGTCTTACCAGGGACTAGTTACCAGGGACTTGTCTTACCAGGGACTAGTTAACAGGGACTATTCTTACCAGGGACTAGTCTTAGCAATCGGGTGTAGATGACAAACCGTGATCAGAATCCAGCTTTTATTTATTTAAAATGTTCAAGTTTAGCTGTACATACAAATGACTCTTAAAATTTGTCATCATCATACTAGATCGTAGAAAATCACGAACGATCACTCATCAATATTCAATGCAGAGATTTACTTTCATTGTGGGTAATCATAATCCACGAACTGTTCAAATACGTGTAAATAGATTTATTGAGCTACATATGTTTTCATGAAATTAAGTACCAACGAAAACCTGTTTATGTTGATCCCCATCAAAAGAAAAAAAACAAGAAAATTTAGTCCCACACACAAAATATTGTTGTAACGAGTAATCTTAGAGGTGACAGAGCTAATAATTGATTATATCGATTTATCAGGACAGTTTTAGGAATGTTGTCTTTAGATCAGATTAAAAAGGTGCCACGTGTCACTAAAACTGGAAATGATTGAATAGGGGAGGGGGTAGGGTGGGGTGGGGTTAGTCTGGTGACTTTAAAGAGTATCCGTCTTTTGAGTGATATTCATTTTTATGGTATTTTTTCTAACATCAAGTGAAATTAATCGAACTTGATAATTTGTCTTCTGAAGTGAATTACTACACCATCGAATATCATTAACATGGCTATAATGTTTTTTATCAGAACTAAAAGTTGATCGACTTCTTTTTTTTTTTCTTAAATAGATTTAAAACCAATTCGTGATTTTCTTCGTTTTGTTTGTGGTGTTTATCGCTCCGTGAGCATTTTTAGTCAAATTCTCCTAACACATTTAGTTGCTTATTCGCTGAACAGCAAATGGGGTTGCGTCACATTTCATGCAGATAAATTAGGATAAACTATCTTGCGTAAAGACAAAACTAGGTTAGACAGGCCAGCGTCTCAGCTGTAGCCTGGTTGTGTTCTTGTGTAAACTAGGCAAGAGAGGCAAGCTGCTCAGCTTTAGCCTGGTTGTGTCCTTGTGTAAACTAGGCTAGAGAGGCCAGCTGCTCAGCTTTAGCCTGGTTGTGTCCTTGTGTAAACTAGGTTAGACAGACCAGCATCTCAGCTGCGGCCTTATTGTCCTCGTGTAAACTAGGTTATAGAGGCCAGCTTCTCAGCTGTAGCCTGGTTGTGTCCATGTGTAAGACACTCTAACATACCCATTTAAGATATTAGCATTAGTCTTTTACCTTTTTGTGTTTTACCGTTTGATGGCCCTAAGGACCTTTTATGTGTTGACGGGCCGTTAAGAATGTCATAATAATAATAATGATAACAGTAAGACATTTTATCCCAACGAATTGCGACGGGTCTCCCGTCTGTTGTTCAGTTTCTCACCTCGTATGAGACGCACAAGATACCACGATTAGGGAAGGTCGAACCACGCACCTCAGGTCTTCACCCGTGACTACGTAGACTAACACTCTAACCGACCGAGCTAACGCAGGCTCCTACATAATGGTTCTCGCTTGAGGATAACGAGAATACAAACGAGGCCAAACTCTTCCAAGACGAAATTGAATGTGTCGCTTTAAACTTTGTGATTTAATACTTATAATATTCTGCCTCTTGTCACGGTAAATGAAACACGAGGTATTCCGAATCGCCCATAAATACAATTACCTTTGGAGTGTTTCGGCTTGCTTGATTCGCTAGTCATGGTTTACAACTTAACGTAGAGGCTGGATCGATTTAGCACACGAGTTAAAAGTCATTTCTATAAATCACTAATACAGACAAAAACAGTGGGGATTATAAAGCAAGGCAACACTTAGCTGTTCTCTTAACCCTAACATGATGTGTTCATATGTGGAGCGCATTCTGCTTCAGACACGTTCACCTTTCACTATAAACCTCCTTTAGAATACTGTTAATTACTAAGGTAAATACCGGTGACCTCTAACCCCTGTAGATTCATGTGTGATAAAGTGTTCCACTTCAATCAGAATCAATTCTATTTTTGTATGAGACATTGTGTTGTAGGTTTATATATTACAAGAAAATCATATTTTTTTATTACACCATTGAGACCGAGTACATGATATTATCAAAATTAAGAAAACAAAGTAGGAAGTATGATTTTGTTTTGCATCACACGAGTTTGTATGGATGTTTTAATATATTTTCTTTGTTTCAGATGTTGTATTTGATTTATATACGACAAGACCACAATCAAATCGACGAGGCCACGAATATCCAACCAAAACAGAACAAGAATCATTTGACGTCATTCCGGTTTATTGCACAATACTTGCCTCCGTAATTGTGGGACTTCTGTTCTATGTTATGTATAAACACTACTCACGCATTCGAGACAAGAAACGACACAAAGGTCATGACCTTCACGATGACGTAGAATATTCTAAGACTTCCGGTGCAGACAGTGGGGTGTTTGAGGACACTGACCATCACGGATATAGACCGTGCAAGGAAATAGGTCATCACTGCAAATGTAAGTGTTTTATCAGACGGTTAAATAACAGTAAATAACAATCAATTGATACATTATATATCATCACTCGATATACGCCACGCGGTTATATTCTAACTTTTATAGGATGTGTCAGTTACTATATGTTTCCGAAACTAAATTATGATGTTATTTGTAGTATTGAACAATTATCTCCCTCCATCGTTGATGAGAAAACGGTCAGACTGTGAACTATAAATCTTAATGGTTTTTTACCTATTTTATATATCCACAAGTTGTTATCATTTTTGTCACTGATAGCGACTGAGTAATGAAATAATAAACATTCATTTTTCCGTTTAAAAACATATATATTACCCATAATAGTTCCTTTTTCTTTGTCATCCTGGGAGGGGTCGCGGTGGTCGAGTGGTTATGGCGTCTGACCGTCTTTATCGCGAGCCCTACACTTCAGGTCGCGGGGTAAAGACCTACATGGGGCAGTCGCCATGTACCATTTTGATATCCCAGAGTTATTGCCCTTCGTTATACGCTGTCAGTACACGTCATCAAACATCTGTCTCTGGTGATTGAAATGTTGACCGTTATCATGGACTCCGATATAGATCTATAGCACTGTGTTGCTATTTTGTTCTTCCAATGCGAATTCGAGATTTCCTCTGTCGAGAACGTAGATACTTCTATCCCAATATTTCGACTGTCTTCCTGTCAATATCTCAGCTACATAGAAGCATTGTAAATTGCACGTGCTTTTCCTTGGAAAATGTAATTTATAAAGAAATTTACTGCTAGAGAAATAATCTCTGCAAATCATTTTTGATAATATATTACAGCATTTAAAGTCGAAACTTTATTACAATAAAACAGAAGTTTGGCGGACTTTTCTGTGTCTACAGTTCTGATTGGTCAGTGCGGAAAGGATCACTGCGCATGTAATCCGGAAATTATCACATGATAACCCAGAGTATGGTATAACGATAAGCTTAACGGCCGATTGGGGCCAAGAATGCCGGGTACTGGCCACAGGTCGGTGTTTTTCTCTCCGGGAACTCCGGCTTTCCTTCATCACCCGGCACGTTCTTAAATGATGACTTTTAAAATGATGTTAACCAATTATAAAGCTGTCTCCCAGAAAGTGATGCTATTTTTAACCAAGAGTAGAAGGATAGAATTTACGATCTTGGTATAATTATTACTGTTTAACTTCGCAGACAATCAACTCACAAGAATACGGGATTTACCACAGTCAAAGAAAAAAGAAATAGAAAAACACTTATCAGTCAAACGGGCTGGAGCCGAGCGTTTGGTTGATGATTGGACAATTTTAGCTCGTGAATTAGGTAATGTATAATATGGTTTTCTTAATTTTTAATATGTATAAAGATAGGGACAGAGGGTGTTGTTGTGAAAGTAATTTCCAATGAAATTAAGAAGTGAACAAAATAAAAGAGATGAAAATCTCACATAGAATACACAAAAATATTCCAGAAAATGAAGATGTTTTAGAAGCCATGTAACACCGCTGTTACCAATTCATCAGCATTCTTGTTTTTGTTTTTCAAGGTTACACCAATAAGAAGATGGACAAAATGGCCAGTAAAAATAAAGACACTTTGTCCATCGTGCAATATCTACTAAATGATTGGTCCAAGAGTCGGACAGCCACTGTGGGCGTGTTTATAAAGGCACTTATTGACATCGGCAGACCGGATGTTGTCAAACTATTACAGAACGACGGGAAATCGGAACCTCTTGTCCAGATGGTGTGACACCGAACGTTTGTGACGTCATGTTTTATATTAATTTAAAATAGAGATTGTATTGATGTTATATATAAACGATTTACGTTAAAACGTACTCAAAATGTTAACAAATTGACTACTGTTGAGGAATACAACACTGAACTGAAGGTTTCTGTTACACATACTTCTATAAACACTTCTTTATATTGATCATACAAACCATTCGCTATCGACATAGTGTTGTTTGTGGTATTGAACACCGTCGTTTAATGCAAATGAAATATTTCTCTTCAAATCTGAGGCCTATGGTTGGTGATGTTGTTAAAGCCTACATTTTTATAAATTATTTACATTAGTTTAGACTTATTGGTCTTCAGTCATGTTACAGTATATATAATCTTCTGATGACTAATCTTTCATTTTGAAGACCATTGGTAAATCTGATTAAACGTTTCTTTTCCTTTCTTTGTTAGATACAGTTATACTGTACTCTATAGCCTAATATTGGATTGTACTGATGATATTTCGTTATTTAAGTTTCAAGGACAACATTGTCTATATTGTTGTAGTCAGTCCCACAATGTTACGGTGTAGCATTCATAGTCCCATAAAAATCTGTCTACGCTGCAAATAGTCCCAAAATAATGCGCCATTCTAAATATAGATCCAATCACATTAAACATTCTAAAAATAGGTCCAATTACATACACTATTCTAAATATAGGTCCTATACCATACACCATTCTAAATATGGATCCAATTACATACACCATTCTAAATATAGGAACTATAACATACACAATTCTAAATATAGATCCAATCACATTAACCATTCTAAAAATAGGTCCAATTACATACACCATTCTAAATATAGGTCCTATAACATACACCATTCTAAATATAGATCCAATTACATACACCATTCTAAATATAGGAACTATAACATACACAATTCTATATATAGATCCAATTACATACACCATTCTAGATATAGATCCTATAGCATACACCATTCTAAATATAGATCCAGTTACATACACCATTCTAAGTATAGGTCCTATAAGATACACTATTCTAAATATAGGTCACGATGAAGAATGGTAAAGTATCTGTATTCCTTGTGGTAAAAAATATTTGTAATCGCAAGGACAACTCCCCTACCACTGTTTTAGTCCAACGATAAATGAATATTGTAGTTAAATCTGTATGTAAATGTGTTGACCTGTTATAGAAATACTGATGTTTACAACAGTCCCACAAATCATCCCCATATTACCACTGTTAACTGACAATATTTTATCCGGTTATTAGAGGTGATACGATGTAGTCATTGGTACCAGGTATTAATTACATGTTTGGGTACCTAATGACTGTTAAATAGTCCCGTTCTCGTGAACGATTGAACACATGCAGTCATGTGACGTTGAAGAAACTGTTATATCCGATACGGTGTTGTATGATAAAATTATGTCCCTTTGATGTTTACTTATCAGTGTGAAACGTGTAACTACCGTCCGTCTCTGTATTACTGTCCAACAGAGAAAATCTCCTATTTTTGTATGCCGATAAAAGCTTTTTACTTTTTTTATTTTCTTCCCTCCTGTATATTTCTAAGGCTACAGCCTTTCCCCCTGAGTAGTGGCACAACCCCTTCATCATTAACCAAATTAAAAATTAACTTTTCGATTAAAAGTCAGTATGGATTAATGAATTGCACTATAATCGATTTCTTTTATTTGTAAAATTGTATTGATAATACCATTTTTATAGATAGATCGATCACGCTTAATGAGTTATCGGGCTAATTAAATCACTTAAACCTACTACATGTTTATATCTAAGTATGATACTGTAATGTTCGCTAAATTATGATTGAACACGATGAACTTTTAAAATAACGTACATTATTGCTGGCCTATTCATTAGAGATCTATAGAAATCTAATAATAAACACAACTTCTGTGAGTTACAGGGATAATGATAGTTCCTTATTGTAACCAGAATCTCAGTCTTGTATGAGGTTTTAATAACTGATTATAAAGTATAAATGTAGGTTATATTGACAAAATATTGAGGAGAAAAAAAACCAAAACTAGTACAAACATATATTCCGAAATTACATAGTAATAAAAAAATTAATGATAAGGACTCAGAAATCAATTAAAGTTTTGACACGAGAAGCGTTTTAATGACGATGGAAGTTCTGACACAAGAAACATTTTAATGACAATGAAAGTTTTGACACGAGAGGCTTTTTAATAATAATGAAAGTTCTGACACAAGAAGCGTTTTCATGACAATGGATCCTTTGTTTTTGTGTTACACGATAGAAAGATGTTTGTTAAATTGTTTCATAGCTTTTTTATTCATTTTATGATTGTCATGCTTGAATTGTTTTTTACGATTTAAGATGTTTGTATTTTTCTGTTTTAGTATTTGTACTATCTGAAAACTCTTTTAATCATTCCATTAAAATTTTATTCTTCAGACCAAGAGCAATGCAGAGGTTAGATAATCATATTATAATTAGTTGTCCCAAAGTTGCTCTTTAACAGTTGGTGATTTCCGAAAATAATTCAAAATGAAATCAAAGTATGGATAACTAGACAAGGAATCGGGCGAGACTAGATTCTTTACAAACAGAAATACCTTGGTAATCACGCCAATTAACAAAAGTTCCTAAAGGTATTGTATAAATATTTATCTGAGTGTTACAGTATTTGACGCACGTGCTGGAGGGTTTTACGAATACGATGTTGGGGGTGTGGTAACACTTGACTTTATTGTATTTATTATCGTGACATCAGTGTGAGTTGTACACAACATACCTATATAAGGAAATTATATAGAAGAAACCTTTTCGTGTTTTTATGATTCGAAAAATTAAATCTAATAACAGGTGTCACATATTGAACTATAAACATTCTAGAGTTATCATTTATACTATTCTCAAATTTTCAAAACGTCAGATAAAAAATCCTTGCCGTGAATGATAGATAACAAATGAAGGATTCAGAGAGTTACTAAGTCCACGTAACAGCTTTGTATTAGATGATGTGTAATGACTTGATACACACTTTATGATAAAACAAAAATACCACTTTTCAGTTTTATGAATATCCTTTTCACGTTTTATCCCGATATAAACTATTACAATTGATCTAGGTCTATCGGCGGATTTCGGTCTAAGTATCACATCCTGGGATTTCCATTATCGTCTCCTACCATTTTCCTACAGGAAGTCGCTATCTTCCTGTCTCCCTCGCTCTCTACATCCCTGTATCCCTCGCTCTCTACGTCCCTGTTTCCCTATCCCTCTACGTCCCTCTCATACCTCCCTCCCCCCACCCTCCCCCTCGTTCTCTCCCTCCTTTGCTCTCGCACTCCTTCGCTCTCTCCCTTCCCTCCCTACCTCCCTCTCCCCTCGTTCTCTCCCTCCTTCGCTCTCTCCCACCTTCCACGATTTGTTGTTTACTTTGTGAACACTCTTTCCTTAGGACATTTTTTTACCTCACAACAAGTACTTGGGGAACTCATATGTTTTGATAAGTTTACAAATGAATGATCAAATATGAGGTAAGTTTTGTGAACTGCAACAAAAACGAACTTTATTTTTTTTACTCCACATCTAAATTTTGATGAACAGATATTAATTATCTTACAAGTCTGAATAATTATGCCGACGTGTAAAAATCATACAGCAAACGGACAACTGAGAAAATAGCACGTATCTCCATGTTCAGGAATAGGAGATGCACAATAATGATAACTTTGTATGGAACGTGATAATACTTTACAATGACGATGTTACTGCTGTCTTGGTGTGATAACATCTCGGATGATCTAGTATGTTAACTCTGTATGACGTCATTTATTTATGACGTCATAATTTGAAGGTTGTTTATATGGTTTCAATTTTCGAGCGTTATCAAAACGTCGAAAGCAAAAAACGAATATTAAGTTATTGAATACAACAGATTTCTTTTTTTGGTCAATATTATAGTTTTTCTGGAAAATTGCGAAAGTAAGGACCCTTAAAATAACCTTTACGCTAGTTATAGTATCTGAACACGTGATCTCTGTAAGTGATGAATGTTCCTGGTATACATAAGTCGTTCTTATATTACCGATCACGTGATCTCTGTAAGTCTGTCCTGTTTCAGTGTGGTTGACTGAAGAACGTGAGTAAAATTAAGTCGTTAGTATTTTACCAAACTCGTGATGTATGTATGTGGTTTTTTCTGAGTGTGTGCTTGGCTCCATTATGTATCTGATACAAAGGTATATGTATATCACTGATCACGTGATCTATGTTTGTATTACCTGTGAGATGTGTTCCTCTTATTGTACTCTGTATTAAGTACAGGTAAATTATTACATCAGTCTTAATACACGATTTGTATATGATGAGATCGTTCATACATGTTTAATATTTTACTAGAACACGACAACTTGAAAAACCAACACAGTTGTCAAGAATTTATTTTATTAGAACATGTTTCATGCTGAAAACGTCGGAAATATTGGCAATCTTTATCAGGCTTAAATAATTAAAACGACCGAGCCGAAAGTTTATAAATATCGACCTATCTTTTGATGAGCGAACAGTTTGGTATAATTTTGTGATCTCTGACCAGTAAGGTTATGTACTGTGTTAATTGTATAGAAAAATGTGAAGCACGATACAAAAGTTATGTTGACAAGGACCAATATTTCGATAATGTATGGAACTTTGGTAAGAACTAAATAAGTAAGTTGAAGTCGTACACATAAATCATATTTCATTGTATGAGTTAGAGGATGTAAGGTAATTGTGTGAAGATCTTGTTTGAAGCTTTGACAAATGTGTGTGCATGTGATGCACGATGTTAAAATGTTTTATGTATAAAAGAGTTCGCCTGAGATAATCTCAATCGTCTATAACATCTTACCTTTGTTTGTTTCTTTCCATATTTCACTTTCTTTCTTGTTTTAATAAAAAAAATTAATGATAGTTATGGCTGTTGTTGTATATCATCATCATCATCAACATCATCATCATCATCATTGCAACATGCTAACAGAAACTTTATTCAAACTCAATAATTTAATGGAAAAATTTGAATAAAAGAGAGGTTTTACACGGAGACACGAAATAACACCGGGAACTTAAGACCGGGTGTTCCGGAAGAGTATTTGTTTTCTGCTTCATTGACAAAACTCGCCATGTAAACCTTTGTCAATCTAAATAGGTAATGTCACGTTCTCAAATGAGAACAAGGTGACATACAACACCACCACAATGACACCAGCAGACAAACTAACAAGCATCAAACACGTCCAGCTTCGTATCGTACAACGGAACCAGCAGGCAAACTAACGAGTATCACACACGTCCAGCTTTATATCGTACAACGGAACCAGCAGGCAAACTAACGAGCATCAAACACGTCCAGCTTCATATCGTACATCGGAACCAGCAGGCAAACTAACGAGCATCAAACACGTCCAGCTTTATATCGTTTAACGGAACCAGCAGGCATACTAACGAGCATCAAACACGTCCAGCTTCATATCGTACAATATAACGTGTTCCAATGAGTCTACAATGACGACACGATGTCTACATCATCATCTTCAGCATCTACATCGTATCGTTTTTATAATGACAATAGCAAGCTCGACGAAGCTACACAGATCATCGTATGTTGTCATGGTGATGTCCCTTTCAGCTGAGATCACAGATCATCATGTGTTGTCATGGTGATATCCATTTTTCTGGGCTGCATTTTGTTAGAAGACTCCATCAGGATAATCATTGAGGTAGTCACCAGCCAAAACAAGGAAGTTCCGCGTACAAATGTCCAGTACACACAGTCACCAGCCACACCAAGGAAGTTCCGCGTACAAATGTCTAGTACACAGTCACCAGCCACACCAAGGAAGTTCGGGGTACAAATGTCCAGTACACACAGTCACCAGCCACACCAAGGAAGTTCGGGGTACAAATGTCCAGTACACACAGTAACCAGCTACACCAAGGACATTCCGCATACAGATGTTCAGTACACACAGTCACCAGCTACACCAAGGAAGTTCCGCATACAGATGTCCAGTACACACAGTCACCAGCTACATCAAGGACATTCCGGGTACAGATGTCCAGTACACACAGTCACCAGCCACACCGAGGACATTCCGGGTACAAATGTACAGTACACACAGTCACCAGCCACACCAAGGGCATTCAGGGTACAAATGTCCAGTACACAGTCACCAGCTACATCAAGGACATTCCGGGTACAGATGTCCAGTACACACAGTCACCAGCCACACCGAGGACATTCCGGGTACAAATGTACAGTACACACAGTCACCAGCCACACCAAGGACATTTCGGGTACAAATGTCCAGAACGCAGTCACCAGCTACACCAAGGAAGTTCCGTGTACAGATGTCCAGTACACACAGTCACCAGCTACACCAAGGAAGTTCCGTGTACAAATGTCCAGTACACAGTCACCAGCTACAACAAGGACATTCCGGGTACAAATGTCCAGTACACACAGTCACCAGCTACACCAAGGAAGTTCCGCGTACAAATGTCCAGTACACACAGTCACCAGCTACACCAAGGAAGTTCCGGGTACAAATGTCCAGTACACAGTCACAAGTTACACCAAGGAAGTTCCGTGTACAAATGTCCAGAACGCAGTCACCAGCTACACCAAGGAAGTTCCGTGTACAGATGTCCAGTACACACAGTCACCAGCTACACCAAGGAAGTTCCGTGTACAAATGTCCAGTACACAGTCACCAGCTACACCAAGGACATTCCGGGTACAAATATCCAGTACACACAGTCACCAGCTACACCAAGGAAGTTCCGCGTACAAATGTCCAGTACACACAGTCACCAGCTACACCAAGGAAGGTCCGGGTACAAATGTCCAGTACACACAGTCATCAGCTACACCAAGGAAGTTCCGTGTACAGATGTCCAGTACACACAGTCACCAGCTACACCAAGGAAGTTCCGTGTACAAATGTCCAGTACACACAGTCACCAGCCACACCAAGGAAGTTCGGGGTACAAATGTCCAGTACACACAGTCACCAGCTACACCAAGGAAGTTCCGCGTACAAATGTCCAGTACACACAGTCACCAGCTACACCAAACAAGTTCCGGGTACAAATGTCCAGTACACAGTCACAAGTTACACCAAGGAAGTTCCGTGTACAAATGTCCAGTACACACAGTCATCAGCTACACCAAGGAAGTTCCGTGTACAGATGTCCAGTACACACAGTCACCAGCTACACCAAGGAAGTTCCGTGTACAAATGTCCAGTACACACAGTCACCAGCCACACCAAGGAAGTTCGGGGTACAAATGTCCAGTACACACAGTCACCAGCCACACCAGGGAAGTTCGGGGTACAAATGTCCAGTACACAGTCACCAGCTACACCAAGGACATTCCGGGTACAAATGTCCAGTACACACAGTCACCAGCTACACCAAGGAAGTTCCGCGTACAAATGTCCAGTACACACAGTCACCAGCTACACCAAGGAAGTTCCGGGTACAAATTTCCAGTACACAGTCACCAGCTACACCAAGGAAGTTCTGTGTACAGATGTCCAGTACACACAGTCATCAGCTACACCAAGGACATTCCGGGTACAAATGTCCAGTACACACAGTCACCAGCTACACCAAGGAAGTTCCGTGTACAGATGTCCAGTACACACAGTCACCAGCTACACCAAGGAAGTTCCGGGTACAGATGTCCAGTACACACAGTCACCAGCTTCACCAAGGAAGTTCCGGGTACAAATGTCCAGTACACAGTCACCAGCTACACCAAGGAAGTTTCGTGTACAGATGTCCAGTACGCACAGTCATCAGCTACACCAAGGAAGTTCCGTGTACAGATGTCCAGTACACACAGTCACCAGCTACACCAAGGAAGTTCCGGGTACAGATGTCCAGTACACACAGTCACCAGCTACACCAAGGACATTCCGGGTACAGATGTCCAGTACACACAGTCACCAGCTACACCAAGGAAGTTCCGCGTACAAATGTCCAGTACACACAGTCACCAGCTACACCAAAGAAGTTCGGGGTACAAATGTCCAGTATTAAATATACACGTAGAGAAGTTGGCTATTGTTGATATAATCACAAATTGTTTGCTAAATCATTCTAACAACCAATAACAATGTTGACCGGAAAAAAATGTTAAATGTGTTTGAAGGCATAACAGTACAAAAAGCTATGTCATACTGAGAGTATTTTATTATCTGTTTGATACAGTTGTATAAATATCACTTTACATACACACGTTGTCCTTATATGGATATTTAATTAGTTTATCAATTTGTCACGTATACAGATCTATAGATTAGGTACGTTACACTATTTATACTAAAACTTAATATTCGAGACTCTCGTTACTGTTAAGTATAGCGGAGTTAGCTACATCACAGTTAAAAGGTTTAGTTAATTAAAGAATTTAACACTGAGGCGCTGGTGTGATGACATTTACATCCATGTGCAACAGTTCTAGTGTTGAGTTTATTGAGTTTGAGATTCAACACCTCACCTCCTCACCTATCTTATTCGTAACCATAGGAACATAAGGCCCTATATCATTTACGTACCAAATATATATTATGCATCCAGAAACAGTATATAGTTGAATTAACACAAGTAAAACGCACTATTTCCCTCGTATTTGATAATCTGGTAGCTTAAAGTCTACAACAATGGTCCTGTATTATATGTTTAATGTTCAGAATTTTCTCAAGAAACGTTGATTCTCCGTCGAGAAAGCTTCACATAATTTACTGAAACTTCCTTTGTGTAATTTTTATTTATAATAAAAGTTTGATTATTTATAATAACTGTACGGCACGATAACGTAAGTAGGGAAGCGTATTTCGACATACGCACTCAAAATTTCGGATTACTAACTTGAAATATCGACTAACTAACTCAAAATTTCGGATTACTAACTTGAAATTTCGGATTACTAACTTGAAATTTCGGATTACTAACTTGAAATTTCTACTAACTAACTCAAAATTTCGGATTACTAACTTGAAATTTCGGATTACTAACTTGAAATTTCTACTAACTAACTCAAAATTTCGGATTACTAACTTGAAATTTCGGATTACTAACTTGAAATTTCGACTTACTATCTCGAAATTTCGGATTACTAACTTGAAATTTCTACTAACTAACTCAAAATTTCGGATTACTAACTTGAAATTTCGGATTACTAACTTGAAATTTCGACTTACTATCTCGAAATTTCGGATTACTAACTTGAAATTTCGGATTACTAACTTGAAATTTCGACTTACTATCTCGAAATTTCGAGTAAAAGTAAAACAAAACGTGGCCGAAATACGTACGTAAGTGATGAAATGTTACATATCAAGTAACATACAGTGTGACCGATACATGTATCACAACAGTGAATTACGTTATGTAGGTATAATATACATTGTGACCGATACATGTATCACAACAGTGAATTACGTTATGTAGGTATAACATACAGTGTGACCGATACATGTATCACAACAGTGAATTACGTTATGTAGGTATAATATACATTGTGACTGATACATGTATCACAACAGTGAATTACGTTATGTAGGTATAATATACAGTGTGACCGATACATGTATCACAACAGTGAATTACGTTATGTAGGTATACTATACATTGTGACCGACACATGTATCACAACAGTGAATTACGTTATGTAGGTATAATATACATTGTGACCGATACATGTATCACAACAGTGAATTACGTTATGTAGGTATAATATACATTGTGACCGATACATGTATCACAACAGTGAATTACGTTATGTAGGTATAATATACATTGTGACCGATACATGTATCACAACAGTGAATTACGTTATGTAGGTATAATATACATTGTGACTGATACATGTATCACAACAGTGAATTACGTTATGTAGGTATAATATACATTGTGACTGATACGTGTATCACAACAGTGAATTACGATCGTTATGTAGGTATAATATACATATGAGATATACATTTAGCACGTGAAGTCACTTGTTGAAGACTGGTTTTATTAGTAGACACACTCTTTGATGACTACCCAAGCACACACGTGGTAGCAATTTACTCTGAGGGAGCCCCACCATGTGTCTACACGCCCATTTGCCTTACTCGGCCGCGACACAAACTACACTTTGTCTGTTACATTGTGTATATAGGTCTGTAGGTAGTAATTACGGTATGGTACTTACTGTATGTGCAGTTCATCCGGACTAAGGCGTTGTCATCTTTAAACAGTATAACATGCATACAAACATATCATATGTCATGAAATGACTGCGAGATGACCGAAGAAAATCTCAAATTTCTGATTTGTACTAAAAACACTATTTTTACAAATATGACCCAAACATTAAGAGCAAAACAGCTGATCTGTAAGGTTGTCCTATAAAGGTTGTGTGCAGAACGTTAAAATTTTCGCTGTTTTGATAAAAATCTTATACAAACATGATGTAACTTAACCAGTTTATTCTTTTCACTGTTCATTTTATTTTCACAATATTTATTACTATAACCATGTCTATTTTCAGCGATTGAAATTTATCATAGAAAATGTCGAAAAATGAATTTCTATCAAGCAGCCTCTACAAAGTAACAGTTCATCATACTGGACCTCTATCCGACCAACAGCTCCTATTTACAATCTGTCGACCCTTTGTCATCCCAACCGCCCTTCTATCCAACCAACCGCCCCTCTATACACTCTGTCGACCCTTAGTCCTCACAACCGCCCCTCTATACACTCTGTCGACCCTTAGTCCTCACAACCGCCCCTCTGTACACTCTGTCGACCTTTGTCCTCACAACCGCCCCTCTATACACTCTGTCGACCCTTAGTCCTCACAACCGCCCCTCTATACACTCTGTCGACCCTTAGTCCTCACAACCGCCCCTCTATACACTCTGTCGACCCTTAGTCCTCACAACCGCCCCTCTATACACTCTGCCAACCCTTAGTCCTCACAACCGCCCCTCTGTACACTCTGTCGACCTTTGTCCTCACAACCGCCCCTCTATACACTCTGTCGACCCTTAGTCCTCACAACCGCCCCTCTATACACTCTGTCGACCCTTAGTCCTCACAACCGCCTATCTATACACTCTGCCGACCCTTAGTCCTCACAACCGCCCCTCTATACACTCTGTCGACCCTTAGTCCTCACAACCGCCCCTCTATACACTCTGTCGACCCTTAGTCCTCACAACCGCCCCTCTATACACTCTGTCGACCCTTAGTCCTCACAACCGCCCCTCTATACACTCTGTCGACCCTTAGTCCTCACAACCGCCCCTCTATACACTCTGTCGACCCTTAGTCCTCACAACCGCCAATCTATACACTCTGACGACCCTTAGTCCTCACAACCCCCCTCTATACACTCTGTCGACCCTTAGTCCTCACAACCGCCCCTCTATACACTCTGTCGACCCTTAGTCCTCACAACCGCCCCTCTATACACTCTGTCGACCCTTAGTCCTCACAACCGCCCCTCTATACACTCTGCCAACCCTTAGTCCTCACAACCGCCCCTCTGTACACTCTGTCGACCCTTAGTCCTCACAACCGCCCCTCTATACAATCTGTCGACCCTTAGTCCTCACAACCGCCCCTCTATACACTCTGTCGACCCTTAGTCCTCACAACCGCCCCTCTATACACTCTGTCGACCCTTAGTCCTCACAACCGCCCCTCTATACACTCTGTCGACCCTTAGTCCTCACAACCGCCCCTCTATACAATCTGTCGACCCTTAGTCCTCACAACCGCCCCTCTATACACTCTGTCGACCCTTAGTCCTCACAACCGCCTATCTATACACTCTGCCGACCCTTAGTCCTCACAACCGCCCCTCTATACACTCTGTCCCTTAGACCCTTATACACTCTGTCCTCACAACCGCCCCTCTATACACTCTGTCGATCTGTCGACCCTTAGTCCTCACAACCGCCCCTCTATACACTCTGTCGACCCTTAGTCCTCACAACCACCCATCTATACACTCTGCCAACCCTTAGTCCTCACAACCGCCCCTCTGTACACTCTGTCGACCTTTGTCCTCACAACCGCCTCTATATACACTATGTCGACCCTTTGTCCTCCCAACCGCCCTCTATCCTTCCAACCGCCCCTCTATACACTCTGTCGAACCTATGCCCTCCCAACCACCCCTTTATACACGCTGTTGACCTTTGTCCTCACAACCGCCTCTATATACACTCTGTCGAACCTATGTCCTCACAACCGCCCCTCTATAGACTCTGTCGACCCTTTGTCCTCACAACCGCCCCTCTATACACTCTGTCGAACCTATGTCCTCCCAACCACCCCTTTATACACGCTGTTGACCTTTGTCCTCACCACCACCTCTATATACATTCTGTCGACCCATTGTCCTCACAACCGCCCCTCTATACACTTTGTCGACCCATTGTCCTCACAACCGCCCTCTATCCTTCCACAACCGCCTCTATATACACTCTGTCGAACCTATGTCCTCACAACCGCCCCTCTATACACTTTGTCGACCCTTTGTCCCCACAACCGCCCCTCCTCTATAGACTCTGTCGACCCTTTGTCCTCACAACCGCCTCTATATACACTCTGTCGAATCTATGTCCTCCCAACCACCCCTCTATAGACTCTGTCGACCCTTTGTCCTCACAACCGCCCCTCTATACACTTGTCAACCGCCCTCTATACACTCTGTCGAACCTCTATCCTCCCAACCGCCTGTATACACTCTGTCGACCCTTAGTCCTCACAACCGCCCCTCTATACACTCTGTCGAACCTATTTCCTCACAACCGCCCCTCTATACAGTCTGTCGACCCTTTGTCCCACAACTACCCTCTTTATACACTCTGTCGATCCTTTGTCCTTTCATCAGCCCTCTATCCTTCCAATCGCCCCTCTATACACTCTGTCGACCCTTAGTCCTCACAACCGCGCCTCTATACACTCTGTCGACCCTTTGTCCTCTCATCAGACCTCTATCCTTCCAACCGCCCCTGTATACACTCTGTCGACCCTTTGTCCTCCCAACCGCCCTCTATCCTTCCAACCGCCCCTCTATACACTCTGTCGAACCTATGTTCTCCCAACT